GGCTGGGGGGATACCCCCGGGAGCTGACCATTGACGGGTTGGCCTATGCTTTGGGAATCGAGTACCACCCGTTCGATCGCCACGAGATGGAGGTTGCACACCCGACGGACTAGAACCAGGATAAGTTCTACCGCCGGATAGCCTGCCTCGACTATGCCCAGGACTTCTTCGACCCTGACCAGACATACGTTCGCTCTCTCAAGGCGACGTGGCACATCCTGAACCTGCTCATCACCCGCTCCATCGTCCCCAACGTCACCGGCTCGCACAAGATTCCGAAGCGGGTGCTCTATGCCATGAACTCGATGAGGGACCCGGAGCATATGCTGCACTTGGGTTCTTTCGTGGCCACCACTTTCTCCCGGTGCCACGGGAAGCCCAAGCATCTCTACTGTGGTCCCCTGATCACCCGTCTGGCGCGTCATTTCGACATCAGCTTCCAGGGACTCCACGATTCTTCTGCACTGGGCGGCTCCACCCCCCTCAGTCGGGATGTGCTCCACAATGCACTCCTCCTGGTCACTGATTGCACCCGCACCTGGGTCGATGCGCTTTCCATGCCTCCTGAGGAGGTTGTGGATCTCGATGAAGACGAGGAGGACGCTGACTACTCCGGTGAGGAGGAGGATGAGGATGATGATGATGATGATGATGGCGGGGCCATGGATGTCGATGAGCCGGAGCCCCCGCTCTCTCCACCAGGGGACCTTCAGCCTCGACGGAGATCAGAGAGAGGCGAGTCTTCCTCTGGTCCTTCTGGTCCGTCGATGGCCTCTGGCCCGTCGATGGATTTCTTCATGGAGCAATTCCAGCAGATGGGGCTCCAGTTCCAGCAGCTCGGTCTTCAGAACCAGCAGCTCATGGACCATCAGGTCCAGTTCTACCAGCAGTATTCGACCCACCAGGCCGAGTACCAGTCTAGGCTGACAGTTGTTGACGAGCGCCTCGGCCGCTTGGAGACCCATATGGGAGTCACTAGTGCTCTCATCAGGCGGGAGAGAGATCGAGGCCGCCGATTGATGGAGTACTCGGAGCACCTACTCCAGGCTTGTCACCCCCCAGAGGAGCACCACTGGACCACCCAGTGAGATCATTCGCCACCACCACCACCACCGGAGGATGGAGACGACGACCTTATGAACCAGATCGACTTCACCGGTCTCGGAGGGCCCTAGTGGCATGTTTTGAGTGTTTTTGTCTTTGTCAGCATGCAAACTGTCTTGTGTCGGTTTAGTTTCTTTCTTTTCATTTTGGATGCTGTACTATTGGGCTGACCATTGGACCTAACGTATTGTGTTTGAGCTCTTTGGTTTCCTTTAGCTGTGCTTATGCCTGACTGGTCCTCTCTCCAGTCCACTTCATGCCGACTGGTCCATTTCCAGTCTCCTGCAGTCCGTGCCCCACCGGTAACATCGTTCCCCCTTTCCTTCCCTCTTCTCCATTGAGGGCAATGTCGATCTTAAGTGTGGGGGGATGTTTATCTTTTGACTGCATTAGATCTGTTTGTGTGCTTGGAGCCTAGTCCACTGCCCAATTTTTTTTTAAATTTGAGGGCTCCAAGTACGTGTTCCTTGCAATTGTCTGCTCAGTATGCTTTGAATTGACAGTCTCTTTAGTAATGTGCAACCTAGGGAGGTAGTGTAGTACTATGGAGGATGTTGATGCATTTAAGAAGTCTTATTTCTTCTTCATATTGTGTTGGTTGATTGAGTGAATTAGTGATCCTAGGACCCTTGAATGGTGTGGTGTTGTGGACTCTCTACCTGTCATGGACTCTTGTATCATGTTTTGAAAATAACAGGTGCTCGAAAATGTGCTTTAAAATAACGTCTCCCGTGCGAATATGGCGAAAGTGTGTAAGGGGAGACGGGAATCCGTTACCAATTTCCACCTACTACCTCTAGCCCCCTTACATGTCTTTCCCCCGCACGAGGCTCGAGACATCCGCTCCTGGCATGGCCGGTAAGAGCCGGGCTCCCGCAAAACCTGTGCTAGGTGGGAGCCCCCATTTTCTGAAAAACAGGTTGGAACCTTTGAAAAAGAAAAAAAAAACAGAAAAACAAGCAAAAAGGAAAGGGGTTCCAGCCATCTTCAAGAAGAAAACAGAGCACCTTGAAAAATGTGAGTCCATGATCTTTTGTTTTTGAGAGTCTCTTCATCCCCGATTCATTTGTCCTCTGTTCACTAATTGCCATGATGCCGACTCGAGACTAGCGCTCTCGCCGAAGAAGCTATGAGATGACTTGTGCGTCGGTTGACCTCGTAAGCTGCTAAATGATCTAGGAAATCCTCTACCTATGATCGGGGTTGTTGGTTGCTATCGAGGTCTGGAGAGTTGCATTGGTTTGAGCTAGGTTTGCTTGGGGACAAGCAAACGGTTAAGTGTGGAGGAGTTTGATAGACCGATAATTACACATGTTTTTACCCTTATTCTTGAGCCGTTTGAGATGTTGATCCTCGTGTTTTAAGCCGATTTCACGCTAGGTTGTGCGTTTATGTCATATTTCAGGACCCGACGTTGGAATCGGGACGAAGGAACGAGATTCGAGTCGAAAGGAGCAAGTGAGGCTTGAAGTGTGTTGGAGGACAAAAATACCCGGCCATGACCATAAATACCCGGCCGAGTATTATTCTGAGGAGACCGGGTATTATCGTTTTGGGCGTCTGAGGAACAGAGGGGGTCCCGGTCGTGAAGCTTAAATCCCCGGTCGGGGATTATTGGCCACGACCGGGGATTTCCCCTGAGGCAAAGCGGCGCGTTTTAATTATACCCGGTCGAGACCCAAAATACCCGACAGGCATCAAAGACCTCGTGAAATACAACCCATTAGTATAAGTTATTAGTTTTGGGTAGTTATTATCAAAGACCTCGTGAAATACAACCCTAGAAATTCCTAAGTTTATTGCTACATCAATGGATATGACGTTTGTTGACTGATATTGGGGGTGACGTGCTTGACTCCTGTGGCTCTCTATGTGAATAAAACGAGTGCATTACGCATAACAGCAAACCAAGTGCTCCATGATCATACTAAGCCTATCCTGATATATGTTGACTATGTTTGAGATGTTGTTTGAGATATATAGTATGGTCAGTTTACATTACAAACGTATAGAAGAACAAGTTAATGAATTGCTCACTAAAGATTTCTCTGCGAGTCGCCATTAGTATCTAGCTAGCAAATTGTTGTTGTGGGATCAACATCAATTTGGAGAGAGGCTGTTAGTCATTAGTTTCAGGTGATTAGCCCATAATTATTGACTGTCGTCCATGCAGCCCATGTAGGTTTGGGAGACGATTGGAGAAACCTAAACATAGGGGCTCGACGTGTATAAGGCAAGTGTTACCGCAGTTGTATATGTCAAAAATTCAGATAGTGCCAAACTTTTCTACGGATTAGTCCTAGAGTTCCAAGGATACCATGTAAATCCATTTGTCATCTGTTCATCGCTTTTTTTATTTATTATCACAATATAGTTAACATGTAGGGGTTGTTTGGAAGTTAGGAGTCTAAATGAGTGATTCTGTGAATGTGTGTATTCTTTACAATCTATCGTTCTTTTGACATAAACTTATCCACAATGCATGCATTTGATTGATACTTTAGAATCTCAAATGGCTAGAATCATTCGTTTTAGAATCTCTACAAAAAGGTGAGATTCTCTTGCTTTACTTTTGTAATTGCTCTTTTGCACCTCTTATCCTTATTTTTTTATATATTTCATATTTGCCCCTTCTTTAATTGACTATATAAAGAGAACTTCAAGGTTATATAAGTCTTTTTGGTCATTAAAGTGAGAATCCTTATATTCTTTAAAAGTGAGAATCACAACTAACAAACAACATATTCTTAGACCATCTCCATCCAATTGCTTATTGCTATTGCTTATTGGGTGGAATCCTATGTGGCAATAGCTTTAAGCAATTGCAAGGATGTAGCACTTCTTTCTTATTTAGCAAGATTGCTAAATAAGCAATCCCCTTTGCAATGCCACATAAGCAATTGGGACCCACACATTCATGCACTCAAATTCTTTCTTTTTCCTTTCTTTCTTTTCTATCCACTTTGTACACCTAAAATGTATTGTTAAGGAAAAGAATATGTAGTAGGTCCCATCAATTGCAATTGCTAACCTATTGCAGGGATGTAGGTGGTTTGAAATGATTGAATTGAATAGTTGCTAAAGTTGGTGATGTGGATGTGGGGTCCATTTATGAAATGGCTAACCTATTGCAGGGATGGAGATGGTCTTACAATCATCTATTTCTTACAATCACTACACTTCGAATACATACATTGTAAGAATACACATATTCATAGACTCCCAACTTCCAAACCACCCCGCAGCGGAGCACATGTTGTGAATTTTGTTAAAATGCGGTAGCTTTTATTTTGTTAATAATTGTAAAAAGAACGCCAACTAAGTAAGTGACCAAGATCAAAATATGCCTTTACCACAGATTTTGGGCAGTGGACTCTGTCTTAGTGCCTCTCTCTATCCGGCTTCTCCTTGGGCAGATCGTCGTTGCTGCAACAAGCTGTCAGTCCTCTTTCTAACACGCAGCATAATATCAACCCTCCTATCCACAACAAAACCTTCTTCAGGAAATAGACAAATAATATTCCTTCTGTCAGCTCCAGGCTCGAGTCACTTTCAATCCCTCTCTGTCATGTACAGCACTTCTCCTTTATACCCGTGCATAGATTTACCTTTACAATAATAGAAGGACGGAATGCTATGCAATCAAAAAGAGCCCAAACAAGGCATTCCTCCCTCCCAGATGATCTTTTCTTGTCATTTTCCCCTGATTTCTCAACTAACCCTCCATCCTTCTTCCTCCTGGCAGACAATCTTGACCTGGAAACACCACACACTCCTTTCCCTTCAATATGGGTTCTCCCCTATAAGTGATTTCTGGCCATTCCCCACAATCAATTTACAGAAGCAGCAGCAGCATAAGGAAAGAGAGATAGAAAAACCCTGTCCCCTCCCCAAAAATGGCAGCTGCTGGTTATCATGTGAGATCAATCAGTTTACCTGCAAAGCCTCACCCTTTATCCGCAGCTCTTCAGGACCAGCTCAACTTCCTAAAGGCGTCAGAATCCTCTCCTTTAGCTACCAGATTGGGAAGGCTGAAGACTATCTACGAGCTCCTCGACGATCTACTACGAGCCCAAACGACTCGACAGGTTCTCTTCTCCGAAAGGCAGAGCCAGGCAGTGGAACTAGCCCTGAATGGGTCGCTCAGGATGCTGGAACTATGCAGCAACATCAGAGATTTCCTGTCAAAGATGAAGGAGATCGTCCAGGAGCTCGCGTCTGCTCTCCGAAGGAGAAGGAAGCGCTGCTCCACGGTGGTCCTCCCCGCGGGAGAATCAGCTGTTCGAGATGCAGCGGAGGGTTATCTGAATTCCAGAAAGAGGCTTACAAAACTCGTCAGGAAGTTCATCAGGTTCAGTTTCCAGGAAAAGAATGGAGGAACCAATCCTGACGCTGCTGGATCTGATTCCTCGTCTGTTGTTACAATGCTGAGAGGCGTCGAGGAGATTAATCTCGAAGTTTTTCAGGCCATCCTATGTTACATTTCTCAGCAGGGGCGGTTGCAGCCGGTGTCAGGATGGTCTATGTGGATAGTTGTACTGTTGCAGGCCAAACCTTGTGGTCACTCTGAGTGTCAGGATGATGGCAATGAGATGAAGAAGGTTGATTCTGAGGTGCTGGCTTTGAGGAGTAGCAAAGATTTGAACTTTTCGCAGGCTCGGGTGGTTTTGAAAGGGTTGGAGAGAGTGGAATCCAATCTGAAGGAGATTGAGGAAGAGATGGAATGCATTTACAGGCGGCAGGTGAAAGCCAGAGTTTCCCTTCTCAATTGCCTGTCTCGTTGCTGATGGTTTATTGATCTTCAGGTTGATCATTATGAGTTTTTGGAAAGATGCAATGCTAAGTGAAAATCAAAATATTGAATGTGTTCCACTATTCTTTTCATTCTTTCTGATTGGTTATATAAAATTATATTCATTGGTTATGTATGTGTTGCCATTTTGGCTAAAAAAAATGTCTACAAGTTTTTATTATTATATACTTTTAGACAAATCTGCTGAGAATTTGATAATTCGTTCGGGCCTTACTTGATTACAATAATCAGCTCAACAGTGGCAACAATCATTATTTCTTCCTTCTGCTATTCTTTTCTTCATTACTATCAGTTGCTTGTCTCAGCAACAATTCCGAAATGGGCAAAGGAAATATCACTATATCAGTATTTTAAGAAGGTCCTTTCCATTTCCCATTTGGTACACCAAGAACTTATTGAAGTATGAGTCGATGTCAAATATTATATCATGTAAACTTTTAATTTATTTATTAGCAATATCATATAAGCTAATAAGAAATGTAAGTACACTATATTTATGTGTTTCGATCTCTTAGAGAAAATTTAAATCCATATGATATTAGGAATGGTATTGGGGCAAGTCGAGGCTTGTATCTCGATTTCCATACTTGTTTTATACCAGGTTAGATTCAGGTCGGGTAATTTATCATGTAGTGCGAGTCGGGGCATATCGATACACACGAGTATGTAATTTAAATAAAAAATATTAGAAATATTTTTTTTACATAAAAATCAAGAAAAAAATATAAAATGATAAATGTAGTTAAATTATTCGAGAATTGATGTTCGCGCCTATTTATAACTTTATTCTCGCTAAAATATGAGATACCAAAAGTAAAATAATAAGTAATTTAAGTAAAAATATATTTAAATTAGACAAAAATTATCTTCGGAAAGAGTACCCATACCTGCTTCGCCTACAAGACAGATATTAACTACCAACACACATCAAATATATCAGATAAAACCGATGAGGTAAAAATTGTCATCCTATATAATATTCACTTTTAACCAACCCATTTTACCAGTTCTGCATACAACACAGGTCTTTATGAATTATATTAATGCAAAATTGAAGAAAAAACTCTATCCAGAAGAACACGGACACGATAAAAGGAAATAGAGAAACACCAAACTCCCCCATCCCCATTGAAAACCTAAAATACAGAACCGGCCCTTTTACTTTAAAGAGAACTTTCACATCCATTAAAAAAAAAAAGAGAGAGTATGAATAATTGCTGGGATTGACCCAGTCGACAATTGGCATCTGTTTCTCCTGCTTTGGGTTAGACGATGGAATGAAAAGGTTCCATAATTTAGTAATCACAGTCAGGCAGGGGTTGTAGGGTTTTTGTTGTTGTTGTTGTTGTTGGAAAGACATATCAACAATGTCCTGGATCTTTTTCCTCTCTGGAGGGAAGAATGCGAGGATATGCTACTTACAAGTATTGTTAACAGTCACGGAGGTTCAAAGTGGAAAGTGCTAGTAAGTAACTCGCGTAGCTGTGGTTCATCTAATCATATTTATGACTTATTTATGGTGTCAATGGCTAGTTGACCTGTAAATATGGCACAACCCGATCCTAACGAAACTATGAACCCCAATCTCTCAGTATAGATCCTAGCCTACAAAACACTTGCAATGAAAAAGCTGAAGTCCAATGAAATTTCACAAGCATTTACCTATCAATAGACACTAAAACCTTAGAAGTTAGATCTCATTTTGTCCACTCATTTGGACATACCACTTATCTCTATGAGCTTTAAGTCTCTCTACATTTATTCTCAATGTTGTTTCTTGCTATGAAACAATTGTTGATTGTCGGAGTGTAGATGATGGCGGCACTCTCCTCGTTCTACAAATCCTCCCTTCCCCCGATGAGATCAAACCAACAACACTTGAATCCAGACCTGAGAGAGTTTCATGGTTGAAACAATGTTTATGACAAGAGATACTCACACAAGGGTTCTTCTCGACATTTTACTTGCTACCAGGCGTGTGCATGCATCTTTCCAAGGTAAGCCCTCAAGACATCTATCTCAACAGTCCACCACATGACATCTATCCTTGATTCATGACATCTTTTATTGAGGTGAGGTGATGACACTTATAATACGCTATTTTTATATTGGTCGCTACTGACTATTACTCTTAACTAAGGCCAATTGTAATTAATGGAAGGAATTGTAGCATAGTGACACGTGTTTAAATATCAAATCCACGTGTTCCAAGTAAAGAACTAATAATTACCAACGCAGTAAGTAAATTGATCACGTTCATATGGAGAAAAGTCTCTCCGGTATTGATTCCCTCTAGTCACTAACCGGATTAATGATTGTTGACTCTCTAGTTTGTTTCACTCAGTGTGTATATTGCAAAAAAATTCTTAATCAACTTTGAATCTCGATTAAAGCAATCAAGGCCTTCTTGAATAGACTGGTTAGAGGGAGTTTATCCTCAACTAAGGCATTCTACCAAGGCAATGCACTCAAGATCCCCCTCTATTGGATAAAAATCTAATACAAAGTGGTGAATCAATTCACTCATGCAATCAATTACTACTTCCAATTGATGTTTCTCTAATCAACCTAACTAGATTTTCTCTTTCATAGGTTAAGGCATAAATCATAAGAACGTGTCAAGGCTCTAACAGTTCATTGTATTATAATGCATCAATAGAATATAACTCATGAGTTCAAACGCACTAGAGTATTGATAGAGGCTTAATAATACATAGTTTAATCCTTGTATCTTAATTGTTTCCTGGTCATTTTGTTTAATAATAGTCTTTCATTTTATGCTAGGTGTGTTCTTTTTGTCATATTTCAGGTACTACCACTTGGAGGAAGTTTAGGAACGAGTTTCATGATGTTTGGAGGTAAAAAAGGGGAGTCACAAAAGAGCACATATTGTAGACCAGATTTCACGAGTTGAGGTTGAATGTCATGACCAGGCATTCATATCCTAAAATGAAAGAGTAGGAGCATTTTAGAGAACATTCTTATGGCTCAAGAACTGGTTCAAAATTACAATAAAAAGAGAATAGCTTCAAGAAGTGCAATTAAGGTATATTTGAGGAAGGCATTTGATTCTGTGCACTGGGATTCATTGTTCACTATCATGAAGTCTATACATTTCACTACTCATTTCATTAGTTGGATATACACATGTGTGTCGTCTGCTACTTTTAGTATTGCAAATTGCAATACATGGGAGTCTTTGTGGCAATTTCGAAGCTAGACAAGGGGTGAGGCAGGGTGACCCCTTGTCACCTTACCTTTTCACAATTATTATGAAACTTATTTCTTCTATGCTTGATCAAGCTGCTAGTGAGAGGCAGTTTCGTATCATCCATGGTGTAAGGGGTGGGTTTGACGCACCTTTGCTTTGCTGACGATCTTATTTTTACTGAGGGGTCAATGTTTTCTCTTGAATGTCTCAAAAGAGTTATTGATTAGTTTGCCAAGCTATCAGGGTTAATATGTAATTCTCAGAAAATAGAAGTGGTCTTTGGGGGAGAGTCTTAGCAAGATATTAAAATGGTTGTGCAAACTACTGGATTCCGATAAGGGAAGTTACCAGTTAGATATTTGGGATTACCTTTATTTGCTGGGAAATTCTCAAGTAGGGACTATGATGTCATGGTTGATAAGATTGTGAGCTGGATCAGAACTTGGCGAGCTAGTAAATTATCTTATGCAGGAAAAATCTAGTTGGTTTCATCCATCATCTATTCTCTTGTCCAATTATGGATGGCTATTTTTGTACTTCCTAAGAATGTGATAAAAAGAATTCAGAAGTTGTGTTCTGACTTCATATGGTATGGCGAGGAGACTGGGAAGGTAAAGATCGCGTGGAAACATTTGGCTAAGCCTAAAAAGGAAGGAGGTCTTGGGATTAAAGATTTGAAAACATGGAATATGGTGAGTGTACGCAGAATAGAATCCTAACATGGCTTCTATAATGGACAAGATTCGTACAAGAGACAAATTGTATGACTGGGGGAAAACTGATAGTGATCTATATCTACTATATTTGTAGTAGAGGGAGATAAGGGATCATCTATTTTTTGGATGTTCATATTCTGCTGCAGTGCTTAAGCCTTTTACTTGTAAGCTATTGTAGGTGATTCCGAGTTCTTGGCAGAGCTGTTTGACAGTTGTTGGTATGTTGGCGAATCAGAATTCTGCAACAGGACGAGTGTTTGGAGCATTGTCGTGTTGGGTGGTCAATTGGCTGAGGTGAGAGCTTTCTGGCTGAGTCTTTGGTCAACAACCACATAGCTCTCGGAAGCGTGAAAGAGAGTTATTAGAGAAGAAGTGAACTTGTTATGTATGGTGATAACTCGATATTTGCACATGTTTTTTCCCACCATTCATACACTGTTTGAGGCTCGATTATCGCGTTTTAAGCTGATTTCATGCTAGTTGTTCTTGTATGATGTATTTCAGGTCTTGGATCAGCTATGCAGGCTTGGGAGCGAGTTTCGGGTTAAAAGCGTGGAGTTGATAACCATTGGAGCTCGAGGACCAAAATACACAGCCTGACCACTATTCCCCCGATCGGGGAAATGGCATCACAGCTCGGGGACGCCGTCTAGGGATTTTTCTCGTGTGAAACCCTTAGATCCCTGATTGGGGATTAGCACGCGGGACAGTAAGTGGCTGCACAACATTTTGGGAAATCCCAACCTGGATCAAAATACTCGACCGGGTAATCAGGTTAGGGATGCGGAACACGAGCTGTATTGAGCCAAACGCGGGTTTTGCCACATTATTCGAGCTTTGAAGCTCAAAACAGAGGTTTAGAGAGAGAAAGTGACGAACAAAGACCCTTGAGTGCCCTAGATCAAGTCTTCACATCATTGGAGCTTGATTCAAGCCTCGAGGAAGGAGTGACGATTGACTACCCGGAGCATATTTCTTCTGTCTACACAATGATTTCTACATCTGGCATAGCTTTCCTCTCTCTCTCTCTCTCTCTTTGTCTCTCTC